CGAAAAAATATATAATATGAACCCATCCAAATATAAAAAAAAGCTATGCATTAATCGAGTTAAAATGACAGCGATGGATTCAAATCTGCGCTCCCAAATGGATTGGCGTGTCAAACCAACTTTCAGGCCGGTTTTCAAAGGGGCATTTTGCACGCACTGGTTAAATATTTATTGTGCGAATATTTGCTGAACGAGGTTAAAAGTTCTTGAAGCCAAAATCCTTCTAGACGTCAGAAGTTTTGTTTAAAACTCCTACCAACTCCTAACTCCCTGATGCAGTTGCTTCCTTCAGGACCACTAAAATGCATGCACATAAACCTCATTGGCATTTACTTCGTCCTCCCCAGCCATCTCATACTCTCTCCTTCCTCTCTGCAATCTCAAAGATGTCCTTCAGTGTCGATAAATTCGTAAAAATCAAATAATTAATCAGACCAAGTAACTGTAATCTTTTGTGATCTACAAATGTGTGCCCACTGCTTACGTGCTGTTATTTACGAAAGAGGACATATTAAAAATTGAATTAAAAAACATTGGCCGCCATGTCTACCGATAAAGAAAAATGGCTCTAAAATAAATATCGGTAACTAATTATTTTATTATTCCATAGACCTTTCAAGAATCTAAAATGATTTGAATAAAACTGCTATATACACGTATTTAACATTTCACAGATATCGTTTTTAAGTAGATATGAGATTAAGTAATAATTTCATGACCTTATAACGTAATTTTTTGTGCATTTCGTTGACGTCACTGATATCTTACTCTGTCGCTAGGTATCAGCACATTGCAGAATTGTATCCCAGCTTCTGTCGATCTCCTCAGATTTCCTGATTTCCCAATCGTCCGAGACTTCGTAAGGGAGCAGTTGTGTGTTGAAGGACAGGGCACGTGTTGCTCGTGTGGCTGCAGACGGTGACGGAAAGATTTTTAAAAAAAATACGTGCAGAAACACGTGACATTCTCTTTAACTTATAAAGACGAACGCTGGGCATTGAAAAAAAAATACGTGCAGAAACACATGACTTTCTCTTCAACTTATAAAGACGAACGCTGGGCATTGCCTGCATGGTGTGATATTTGTCTTTAAAAATGTCTCGACCGAATTTCAAACCACATTTCGCTCGTATTCGAATAGTGCTTAGTCTTTTTTATGAGCTTAAAACTAACAGATATTTTGTAGTAGTCGGGACTAATCCGTGCGTTCCACGTCAGTTAGGAGTGGAAAAACAACGGTATCTGTGGGGTGGGATGGCGTAACAGATAAGGAAGGAACCATAATGTCCATGCTGTTAATATTACAATATTTCGCAGTAGCTGTCCTTCTTTGTAGCTCGCTGTCTCAGACCGACAGCATCGCATCGCCACGTGCGGGCCTAATTACACAGCATCTACCGTCGAGCCAAAAATTCTTCAAATCTGCTGTTCATTTGGGCTACAAACAATAAACATATCCATACACAATGAACTGTGCCAGAAACTGAAACTGGATTAAACAGAAGCTTTTCTATCCTGCAATTTACCCAGTGAATCCCAGCGCAAAAAATTGCCTCCAAAAGAAGTAAAACAGAAATTTGATAAAAATGATCTGCTTGAACAATAGTTGTCTTCTTATCTGTGTATTAACTTCGTTTCCACAAGTTTAGGAGAAAGAGAGAAGAAAACAAGTTAGGTAACAAACGCACAGCGTAACAATTCTGGCGCTTACGACAGAATTTGACCATTAACATTTCGGAATTGACTGGGAATTAATTCCTCTGGCGTGCGTCCGCGATCAAAAAATGCACTAGGTCTCCACGTGACTTGCTTGTTGCTGCTGTTCGTAAATCTCAAACAAAAGTGGAAAGCGTCGATAGATTTTAGTATAAAACTCGGTATAAAATTTCGTTAAAATCAGTCCAGTTGTTCTCGAGTTGTTATATACGAACAGACAGACAGATATGGCGAAGGTAATAAACTCATTTTTGCGACTTTCATCTGTGAACGCGCATAAAAATAAGAGAGAGATGAAAAAAATATAAAAAATTAGTTTAACGTATTGACATCTCTAACAAATTTCTGACTTGTTTTGTTTCATACCATACATGGACGATCGGCTATACGATATTTTGTAATCTCTGCGTTCCTTTCTGAAACAGAAATGTAGTCCAGGACCCTATGAATTTAAATTTTGGGGGGGAATTTCTCAGTGCTACGCCACTGAACTTAAGCTTATATGTCAGTCAAACCAAATGCTGAAATCGTACATCTCTTTACCTCCTAACGTTTATGTTCGCGTTGTATTCCAAATCCTACCAGTGCTCAATTTAAATATCCACCTCGCGTGTGTGAATCACATAACTGCAATTTTGTAATCCAACTGTTTCTATGTAAATTTATGTCTTTAAAATATATGACAGAGTCAGTGTAAACACTGTAACCCCAAATTTCTTTTAATTAAATAAGCCTGTCTGACGTAAAAATAGGATGAGTAACAACTATCACTTAACAGCGTTGCAATGGAAACCCCATGACCTCCTTAAGTATTGTGATAATCCATCACTGCAATTAGATCTGTCAGGCTATTATGTGTTCCTTAATAGCATCTGATTCATTCCACTTGATAGCTTGACATCAGTTCGCAGTCTGGGACAATCGGTTAAATCAAACATTAGTGGGGTTAATAAATCGCGTTCAATTTTTGCTGGGGCTCTACTCATTGCCTAAAAATAATATTGGGGTTGAAATTAAAATAGAAAACACATTTTGTTCGGTATATGAACTAGCTTATGTATAGGAAGAACGACAAACAACTAGGGTTCTATATGTTAAAACTCCAGTCAGCTTTTAAAAATATCCACGCGAGCTACATGTACTGAGCTGAACAAAAGTTTTAACTAACAGTAGACAGACATTTGTGATGCAATTTTTTACGTAGTACATAGAAAATTATCGAGTAAATTAATTATTCAGGTGGCTATTAGTTCGAATCTCTTCCACGGTACCGAATATTCTGACTTTTTCGTTTATACCTACTTTTCTTTGTGTTTTTTTAAACACCGGGATAGTAGGCGTGCATTTGAATGCGCCACATTCAACATATACATCGAGGATATTTTACAGCTGTGCCGCTAATACTATGAATCGCGGCGAGTGACCGTGCAACGGGCACATACACCAAACATCCTAATTCTATCGACTAACCTAAGCAGTTCAGAATATCCATGAATATTCCAAGAATAAATTAAGGAAATATTAATGGTGCAGGCAGGCGGATATTATGACCAGAATGTGGAATCTCACTTCAACGAGGTGCAAATTGTTTTTCTACAAACGAGGCGCTGGTCACCGAGTCCTGTCTATACAACCGTTACTTCTGTTGAGTTAAGGTGAAGGGTTTTTTTTTTTAAAAAAAAATCACTTTTAAGTTTTCATTTAACTCTTTTAGTAATTTAACAGCTGGCCGTTGAGTATAATTTGTAATGAATCAATAGGAGTCGGTGTGGCGCTGTTTATCATGGTGGTTAATTCTAGCCAGACATAAGCCCTGTGTGGGTTGTGGAGTTTATTTCGTTTTCCAGATGTTTAGGTTTGAAGCGCATGTTTTATTTCATACGGGTAAGAACGTAGACTTGGTGACTGTACCCTATTTTAGGAATCGCGTCTCCGGATGTGGGGATGTGGTGTCGGGATAGTTCACCTTAACTGGGAGCTCTTCCATGATGCTAGTTCACTGCATGCAGCAGACAATTTAATCACAATTTTGGCTATAATGAGTCATTTTCGAGAGCTTTTCGTTGCGACAAAACTTAATATTACTTACGTCACTCACAAACAGGCTTGTTTATTTAAAATTATTTTCGTGTCCAAAACGTACGTCGTTCTGCTTAAAAATAATTGTCTGTAAATTAAAATCCATTGAGAAGTGTATTTTAATTAAATTGTAAGACCTCCAGTAAGAAAATTATG